AACTGTGGTCAGCCATGTGGGAGTCCAGTACCCTTAACCACACACCACCTACTGGCCCCTCGAGTTTATTTTTTAAAACAAAAAATGAATGAGAGACATGATATTTGGTGGCCAGATACCAGATTGCTGTTCTCAGTCTCAGATCAGATTTGCCAAGGAAGAGGGAATATGGAGGTTAACTCCAAGCTGTTGGTCAGTTTTCTGAAATTATTCACCTAAAGCTAGGTGCATGCCTGTCATTTGCAGGATATCTATATAAATTTGAGATTGGTTCTGGCCCTTGGATACATTGTATACATTGAAGATAAAGCTGCACCTATGAGTGTACTGTTAGGATGACAGAGCTAGAAAAGATGCAGGCACAAACATACACAAACACACTGCCAGTTTACATATCTATCTTTATATCTATCTATCTATCTATCTATCTCTCTCTCTCTCTATATATATATATCTTTATTTTTTCTGTAGGGCACATGCACTCACCAGAGAAAAACAGAGACAGAGAGGTGGAAAAATGAGAAAGTACCTCCCAGAGGGGATGGCTACAATGCAACCCTTTCTCCTTGGAATTTTGGGTACACACACACATGTACCTGGCATGTCTGTCTGTCTGTCTTTCTTTCTTTTCTTTCTTTCTTTCTCTTTCTTTCTCTTTCTTCTTTCTTGTTTTAGGTTTCTGCCATGGGATGTTTGTGTTTGCTGGAGAGAGAGAGAGAGAGAGAGAAAGTGAGAAACCAGCAGGTCTGGGACCTGAACCACACAGTTGATCACATGGGATCCAGCTGCCTTAACCACCACATTATGGACTGACCTGTCAACTCACTTTTTATCTATTGATACTTTATTTCACCATAAAATTGCATGCAACAAACATGCTTTCAAATTAATGTATACATTGCACATAATTTTTGACAATCTCTTCACAATTATTTCCTGTGCTCTCATTTTATGAAAATACTTTCCCCTGAGTACCAAATTTAAACAATTTACAAAAACATACAATTGGAATTAATCTGCATCTCTCTCGGCCTGAACTTCTACACTGACACAAATGGGTCTTCTGTCAACAGAACGGTGCAAACTGTCCAGCTGTGTCTCTTTAAGTGAAAGGAGCATGCATATACACACCTCCACACACACTCCAAAACTATAATCATAGCACTCATTTTCTTTTGTTATTTGTTGTTTCCATTTAATACAAATTCTCAGACTTTTAATATGCTTGGATCTAAAAAAATTTTGCCAAAGAGCACATGTTCTTGCCAGAGACAGAGACACAGAGAGACTGAGAGAGAGAGAGAAAGTGAGAAAGCACCCAGCATGGGGCACAATCACACTGTAATCCCTTCTCCTCCATCTCTCCCTTCCTTCAGAATTTTGAGCATATTCACACATGTCTGGCATATTTGTTAAGTTACTGGGTCTAGGCCATGTGGAATCTAGTTGCTTTAAACACCAGGCCATGAGCTGGTCCTATATTTATATCTTATTAGTTGTAGTTGGGCATATTTTAATATGTTAATTGTTCATGTATGTATTTATTTGAATTTTCTGCTGAAATAGTTGCCACTGGACAGAGTGGGACAGTTGGCTTCTGAGCAGGAACCCTCATAGTATGAGTGATAAAAGAGAATTAAAAATGGGTAATGGGGACTAGCAGATGGCATAATGGTTATGTCACTGGACTCCCATGTAGTCAACTGTGGTTTGAGTCCCAGACCCAGTGGCTTAAAACTCACTCCGAGTACCTCCGTGTGTGTGCCCAAAACCCCGAGAGGAGAATGGAGAAGGGACTGCAGTGTGGCCATCCTCCAGGGGTGATTTCTCACTTTCTGTCTCTTTATCTCTCTCTGTCTCTCCAGTGAGCGCATGCGTTCTATAGCAACAATGTCTCAAAAAAAAAAAAAAGGGTGATAATGGGGCCAGCTGGTGGCATGGTGGTTAAGGAACTGGACTCTCAGGTGGCCGAACACAGTTTGACTTCTGGACCCAGAAGCTTGAAAATCACACCAGGCACATGTACATGTGTGCCCAGAATTCTGAGAGGGGAATGGAGGAGAAGGGCTAGCAGGATGGCCATCCCCTGGGGGAGGGTGATTTTTCACTTTCCCTCTTTTTGCCTCTGTCTTTCTCCAGTGAGCACACATGCCCTACAGCAAAAATCTTTAAAAAAAATGGGTAATGTTGAGAAATGCAAGAAGATTTATGTTCAGAAGTATGTCCACATGCAGAGGGGAGGCAAGCATGAGACTGGACCAAATCTCCATGGTCTGTTTGGGTGGAAGACAAGTCAGGCCCCTGGATTCTTACACAGATGCCAAGAAGAAGAAAATTACTACCCTAGGAGAGGAGACACTGATGGAGTATTTAGAGAATCCCAAGAAGTACATCTTTGGAACAAAACAAAATTTATCAGGACCAGCAGTTAGTGTAATGACTATGTCACTGGACTCCCATATAGTCGACTGTGGTTTGAGTCCCAGACCTAGTGGCTTAAACTCACGCCGGGCATGTGTGCGTGTGTGCCCAAGATCCTGAGAGGAGAATGGAGGAGAAGGGATTGCGGCATGGCCAACCCCCGGGGGGCGATTTCTCGCTTTCTGTCTCTCTGTCTCTCTCTGTCTTTGTGGCAAACACACACGCCCTATAGTAAAAACCTCTCCAAAAAAATTATCTTCATTGGCATTAAGAAATCAGAAAAGGCAACAGTTCATAGCTTATCTCAGGAAAGCTACTAATGAGTAATACCCAGCCACTGCCTTATTTATGACAAACAGAAGTTTCTCATGACTTCTTCAAAAAAGAAATTGCTGGGGCCAGCAGTGGCAGGGTAGTTAAGGCACTTGATTCCTATATAGCTAACCATAATTCGAGTTCTGGACCCAGGGGCTTGAAAATCACACTAGGCACATGTGCATGAGTGTCCAAAATCCCAACAGAAGAAGGGGTTGTGGTGTGGCCATCCGCCCCCCCCCCCCCCGGGGGGGTGATTCCTCGCTTTCCTCTGTCTCTCTTCAGTGAGCATACGTCCTCTACCGTAAACCACTCCCCTACACACACAAAAATTACTAGAGGATGCTTGTGCTAGCCAGGAACAGACTATGGGGAGAAGGGTAAGAAAGTACCCCCCCGGGGGGTACTTTCATCAATCTCCTTTCCATATCTTTTTCTTTTCATGAGTTTGAGTGGGCAAACACATACATCTGGTGTGTTTCTCAACCATCCATGTCCAGGACTTGAACTGAATAGTCAGCCATGTGAGATTCAGCCACCTCTACCACCATACCGTCAGATGACCTGGCCTTTTTTATTTGTACCATAATTTAATTGATCTCCTACACCAGAACTCAGACTGTGAACAGCTGACAGGATAGATTGTGTTGAACAATACTGGTTTACCACTGGCTTGTGGTAAAAGGAATATTGCCAGTTTTGAGAATTTGGATAGTAATTTCCAGCTCAGTAAATGCTATCACCATTTGCCCCTTCTAAAGACATGATTGGTAATTGATTAGTAATGCTCAACTTTTTATAAAGATGGTGAATGCCATCTCAAAATCTATGGAGATAGGTTTTATCTTTAGGCTTATATGTAACCTGTTATATGAGTAAATAAATGCTAAGGAAACCCCTTTATTTTCTCAGAACCAAGCAAGAGTCACCTTGCTTTATTTTTGTGTTCATTAGCTTATTAAAGGTAAGCATGAAAGATAAGGTAGCGATGTCCACATTTTTGGTTTTGACTATATCAATCTAATTAGAATTCCCTCTGTCAAAAGTGTTACCTTAGTAACTGAAAGGCATTTTACTGTGGTTTATGTATAATATCTAATGAAAGATTAGGCCCACTGAAGACCTTCTTCCCAGACTTCATCTTCCTGTCCCCCAGATCTAGCCAGGAGTCAGTTCTGAGCAGTTTTCATTTTTCTTCTTAAAACATTTATTTATCATTTTCATCTTGTGGTTTTTTTTTTCTTTTTTTCACTTGTTTCCTTTTCCTTTTCTTTTTACCTGTCTCGTTTTTCTGCTCAGCCTCCACACATTGAGTTTCTAGACAGGTCTAAGTGCACAGTAGCCAAATACCTGAATAATTTTAGGGTCAGATGAATACTCAATTTCCGTTGAATCTGCTGCACAAAGGGAGAAAAATGGTACTGTTTAAAAATTACAAGTCACTTCTTCCTTCATGGTAAACATGCTGGAATACCATGTGGCCAACCATGGTTTGAATCCCAGACTCAGTGACTTGAAACTCATGCCAGGCATATGTGTATGTGTGCCTAAAATCCCAAGAGGAAATGGAGGAGAACAGACTGAGGCATGGCCATTCTCTTTAGGGGGTGATTTCTTGCTTTCTGTCTCTCTGTGTCTCTGATGAGTGCACAAGCCCTATAGCAAAAATCTATTAAAAAAAAAGACTCAGAAGTCGAGCTGAAGGGACTCTCACTGGACAAAGAAACTGATTTGAATGACAAATAAAATAATGACTGCAATGGATTAAAAAACACATCAAATACCAAAATGTCGATTCAAGATGTTACTCTAAAAGAAAAAAAACCAACAAAATTAACTCACTATTCATCTTTGGAGGTTCCTAGGGGACAATTTATTTTTTTGAAAAATGGAAATATTGCAACATAATTACATATTCATCCTACCTTTCCTATGTATATGATACATCAGTGTAACATAACAGTTGATGTAAAGATTTTTTTTAGTAGAATAATTCCAGCCAATAAACCATAAAAGCATTGTATTATTAGAGCATCACCCTTTTAAACCTTTAATGAACACAGATTTAAACAACCATCTTCAGAGGCTACAGGAAACATGAGGTGAAAGCGAGACAGGAAATTTTATAATGGATGGATCAATCTAACAATACTCAAATCTTAACATGACAAGAGGAGAGAACCCTAGACCCAAAAAACCTCCTATGCCATACTATAGGGGGAAAAAGCCACCACCATATAAGAGGTACTTTATCGCCTGCGAACATGGCGCTGCAAGCGGTGTGGAGCGTTCGGGCTGTGGGCTGCAGCCTGCGCAGAGCCTGGGCGCACGCTGTGCCCTGCGGGCCGAGGCCCTGGCGGCTGCAGGTGGGCGCTGTCCGGACGCTGCGCACGGGACCGGCTCTGCTGTCAGTGCGTAAATTCACGGAGAAACATGAGTGGATAACAACAGAAAATGGTGTTGGAACAGTGGGAATCAGCAATTTTGCACAGGAAGCTTTGGGAGATGTTGTTTATTGTAGTCTGCCTGAAATTGGGACAAAACTGAACAAACAAGATGAGTTTGGTGCTTTGGAAAGTGTAAAAGCTGCTAGTGAACTCTATTCTCCTCTGTCAGGAAAAGTAACTGAAATTAATGAAGCTCTTGCAGGAAATCCAGGACTTGTCAACAAATCTTGTTATGAAGATGGCTGGCTGATCAAGATGACACTGAGTAACCCTTCAGAACTAGATGAACTTATGAGTGAAGATGCATGAGAAATACGTAAAATCTATTGAAGAGTAAAAGTAGAACCCTTAAATAAAGTAGTGTGAAATAACTTAATCCAGGCATAGCTGTCTTAAATTAGTGGTTGAGAGAAGACTTAAATTGCAACTTTTAGCAATACCAGTGGAAAAAGAAACTACTCTGAACACCACTACTGGAAAGAAAAACCCCTTAACTTTCTAATGATCATATTTTTAATAAACACAAAATGTATCTTTTTCACAATATTCTAAGATTCTTAGTCTATACACAAGTATTCGGAATTCATGAAATTATCTGTGATTAAAAACTAGTTATAAAAATGAAAATAAAAGAGGTACTTTATCAAAAATGTAAAATAATCTGTTGATGATAATGGGATTGTAATATCTTTGACTGGACTAATATATGGTGCATTCATGCTAGAAAATGCATTTTATATGTTCTAATGATATATAGTGACTGAGTGTAAAAAATATCTTATTTTAAAAATTCACCATTGAGTCAAGCCTCTAAATCGAATATCAATTTAAAAGGAGTAAGAGAGACCAAAGAGATATAGTGAACACCACAATAAGGACACAATCAGCAATATCTACAATGCGAACTGCATAGGATAAAATATCCAGCACTTAAGCAAATACAATTAACTGGAAGGCATGGGAGTTAATTTACATGTTAGCTTGACTGGGCCACAAGGTGTCCAGATATTTGTTCAAACACTATTCTGGTTGTGTATGAGGGTAGTATGTCTGGATAAGATTAGCACTGCATTGGTAGACCAAATAGAGGAGGCTGACTTTACTAATGTGGGATGGGCCTCATCCAATTAATTAAATTTTTGAGTTTTAGTTCTATTTCTACAATTTATTTTTTTAATTATCATTTACAATTTACATATAATAGCTGCACATATTCATGGAATACAGTATGGTTTTGAAAACATGCATAGTTTGGGGCCAGCAGATGGCATAGTGGTTATGTCGCTGGACTCCCACATAGTCGACTGTGGTTCAAGTCCTGGGTCTTGTGGCTTAAAACACACTGGGCCCACATGCGTGCATGCCCAAAATACTGAGAGGAGAATCACCCTGGGGGGTGATTTCTTGCTTTCTGTATCTGCCTCTGTCTCCAGCAAGCACACATGCCTATAGCAAAAATCTCTCTTTTAAAAAAAAAAAAACATACTTTGTGTAATGATAAAATTAGGGCAATAAACATATCCACCATCTCAAATATTTATCACTACTTTGTGTTGCACACATTTGAAATCCTCTCTTGTAACCATTTTGAAGTATACATTGAATTGTCACCAACTATCGTTACTCTACTGTGCTATGTAACAGCCAAGTTGTCTAAGGCATAGTAACTGTGATTACCCCTTTTTTATTTGTGGCTTTGCTAGAAGGTGCATGCACTCATCAAAAATATAAACAAACAGAGAGAGAGAGAAAAGGAGAAGGAAGAAGCACCTCCCTATAGGGGATGGCCACACCACAATCCCTTCTTGCCCATCTCTCCATCCTTTCAGGACTTTTGGGCACACTTGCACACACACCAGGTATTTTTCAATCTGCTAGGTTAGAACTTGAACCATACAGTCAGTCATGTGGGATCCAGATGCCTTACTACCACCATTGGCTAGCCAAGATTAGTACCTTTTTCAAAGAAAGTTATTATTACACTTTTTTTTATAATTATTAACTTTTTCATTTATTTATTTATTTGCTATAGGGCATGTGCACTAGCAAGAGGAAGAATCACCCTTCCAGGACAGGGATAGCCATACCACAATGCCTTCTCCTCTATTTGCCTCTCGGGATTCTGAACACCATTGGCTGGCCAAGATTACTACCTTTTATTAAAAAATGATTATTACACTTTTTAAAAATAATTATGACCTCTTTCATGTATTTATTTATTTGCTATAGGGTGTGTGTACTAGCAAGAGGAGAATGAGAAATCACCCCTCTGGGGGGAAATACCCGTACCACAATACCCTCTCCTCCATTTTCCTCTCAGTACTCTGAGTATGCACGTACATACATTCCTGGCATGTTTCTTTCTTTCATTTTTTTTTTGGAGAGGTTTTTGCTGTATGGCATGTGTGCTCGCCAGAAAGACAGAGACAGACAAGAGAGACAGAAAGCAAGAAATCATCCCCCAGGGGGGATGGCCACGCCTCAATCCCTTCTTCTCCATTCTCCTTTCGAGATCTTGGGCACACATGCACACATGCCTGGCGTGAGTTTAAGCCACCGGGTCTGGAACTCGAATACATGGGAGTCTAGCGACATAGCCATTACGCCAACTGCTGGTCCAACTGCTGGCATGCTTCTTAAACCACTGATCTGAGACTGGAATAGTGAAGTTGGTCACGTGAGATCCAGTCACCTCAACTACCATGCCACTGGCTGGTCCAATTATTACCAATTTCTTTTTACTAACTAAATACCATCTATTTCATGGCATGATGGCTATTGAAGGACAGTATCCACCAAAGACATACAGGCCTGCCTAACATCAACCACCCCTATGTAATGTAGTTCAACAAATGTCCTTTTCTTCTTCCTAAGTGTACTGGTCAGATGTGGGCCCTAGAGACAGAGCAGGGACAAGCCCTAGTTATTACAAAGTGTACAATTTTTAATATTTTGAATTCACCTTATAATCACTCAAATGCTTCAGCTGTAAGACCAGGATTATGCAATACTTACTTTAGAAGGCAAAATATTTTAAAATATACATTGCATTCTGTTTTAGTTTCCAAAGGATGAAGGTCAGAAATTTCTTTATTTTAAAAACTCTACTGCAGAGACATTGGAATACCTGGCTTTCTGTGATCTTGGGGGAATGAAAGAACCTCTTTATGCCTCAATTTCCTCTTTTGTAAAATGAGGAAATCAATCTTCCTTTCCTCATGGGTTGTTGCTTTGAGAATTAAGACAAGTTAATACCTGAAAATCCTTAGAATAGTTCTGGGCACACAGTAAAATTTCAATAAATGTGACCAGTTTTAAAAATACTTGTAAGTTGAGATTTTCAGTTTTGGTAGTTTTGTTTTCAATTTTTTTCTTTAATTTTGCTATAGACTGCATGCTCTCACCAGAGAGAAAAAGAGACAGACAGACAGACAGACAGACAGAGAAGGAAAGTGAGAAAGCACTCCCCAGTGGGTATGGTCATGCCACAATCTCTTCCCCTCCATTCTCTCAAGATTTTGGGCACACATGCTTGACATGTTTTTCAAGCTGCTGGGTCTGAGACTTGAACTGTGTGGTTGGTCCTATGGGTTCCAGTTGCCTTAACTACTACACTACCTGCTGGCCCAGTTTTAAAAGTTTTATAGTTTACAACTGTCTGGGTTTTTTTTTTGTTTTTGTTTTTTTTTGTTTGTTTGTTTTTGGACCTCCTTTTTTTTTTTTGCTATAGGAGGCATGCGCTTGCCAGAGAGACAGAAAGCAAGAAATCACCCCCCAGGGAGGATGGTCATGCTGCAATCCCATCTCCTCCATTCTCCTCTCGGGATCTTGGACGCACACGCACACGCGCCCTGCGTGAGTTTTAAGCCACCCGGTCCAGGATGCAAACTGCAGTCAACTACGTGGGAGTCCAGTGACATAGCCATTACGCTAGCTGCTGGTCCCCAACTGTCTTTAGTAAAGCGTAAAAATTTAACAGCTGAATACTATTCTGCAATTAATATTTTATTTATTTTTAGAAATAATTTTATTTATTTATTTATTTATTTATTTATTTATTTACTTTTAATTTGACCAGAGAAACAGAGAGAAAGAGAGCGAGAAAGTCACCAGGTCTGGCACTCAAACTGCAGTAGACCATGTGGGAGTCCAGCGCCTTAACCACCAAGCCACCTGCTAGCCCCCGTTTTGTTTTGTTTTGTTTTGTTTTGTTTTGTTTTGAACTAACTTTCCCCACAACTGGATGACCCAATTACCTTGAAAGCATCTTCAAAGCATTTGGAACAACTGATCTCAGAAAACAGTATCACTGTTTTTCCATGGGGCTGAAGAAAAAGCTGAGGGGTTGTCCTTGACTCTGCCTTATTCCCACACAACCCACACACATAAGCACTACAAGTCCTGCCTGCCCTGTGTCCAAATACCCCTGCCCATGTGCACCCTCCATCTGCACACTGCTCCAACACTGTTCCTTTGCACCTTGTCCCTTCCTTGGACTTCCTCCAATAGCCTCCTCATAGTTATCCCCACTCGCTGGCTTGTCCCTCTCCAGTTCATTCTCCACACAGTGGCCAGCGTCACCTCTGATAATAAGAATCAAATCATGTCACTCCCATACTCTAACCCTTCACATTCAAAACAAAATCCTTACTCAGCCCAAACCACATAGCTGCTGTCTGCACATTCCACCTCACCTCCTGCCAGGCTCCAGCCCCAGGAGCTTTTCTTCAGCTCCTAGATCAACTGTGCCACACATGATGCAGGGACACTGACGAAATGGCCTGTTATCCATGCCAGGCTTCTTCTGGTCATTCAAGAGTCAGCTCAAACGTCACCTCCTAGGATAGGGCTTCACTGATAAGCAATCTCTCATAAGCCCTGTCCTGGTCATTTTCCACTCTGTTTACATTTTTCTTTTCTTCAAAGCACCAATCCCCATATGATATCAGCCTGCTTATTGATTTATTTTCCCACTAATTGCCAGTTTTCCCAAAGTAGAATAATACTACCAGGGACCCTGTCTGTCTTGTTCTCTTCACTGTTTCCCCAGCGAAGTTCCCTAGCTAAGTGTCTCACATGTAAATTAATGAATAAATATTATTAATTGAAGGGATTTTACTTATTTGACATATGCCAGCAGCTTCCGTAACATGCACATTCATATATACACACATACACAAATACATACATACTCTCACCACTGCTCTCACCATCCAAGATTCCAGGAATTCATTGAAGTAGTTCACTGGTAGATAAAAAGAAAAATTCCACAATTCAACAGATTTGATTCTAACCAAATATAAAGTTCA